GCCCCCGCAGACACCCCATGCCCAGAACTGCCCCCGCAGACACCCCATGCCCAGAACTACCCCCGCAGACACCCCATGCCCAGAACTCCCCCCGCAGACACCCCATGCCCAGAACTGCCCCCGCAGACACCCCATGCCCAGAACTGCCCCCGTAGACACCCCATGCCCAGAACTCCCCCCGCGGATCCCCATGCCCAGAGCTCACTGCCTCCCCACAGACGCACCATGTGTGTCCGCTGTGACAGGAGGAATGACTAGGGCTCTCTCTGCACCACACAGGCCCCAACCTGTCCACTCAGTGGGTGGCGGGTCCCTAAGATGGCCCCGGCGCCTTGATTCAGTGAGGGGGGGGTGAGTTCGCAGACTAATTTGACCCCATCTGGAATCTGACTGTCCTTGTGTTGGTCCCTCAGACTTCCTGTCCCTGGGCCCCACGTGAAGGGTGGGGCCTCACGTGGACACTGCAGGGCCCTGGGTGAGAGGGGTCCCCTAGCAGAGCTGGCAGGGCTGCTCTGGTGGCCTATGGGTGACAAGGCCTGGGGGAGTCCCGGGTCACAGGGCTGAAGCCAGGTTGGGAGGAGATGAGCTACTTGCAGGAGCCCAGCCTTTGTCCCCAGGCCCTCAACCGATGCAGGGGTTTATTTCTAAATGTCCACACGCCCAACTCTAGACCACCCCTGCAGATGAGGGAGGGCCTCATGGCAAAGATGCTCGTCTGGTCCACCGGCCTCCGGTTACAGCCATGGAGCATGTTTACATGCTGATGTCTGGCTGTGTCCCAGACTGAGCGTAGTCCCTTGAACTTCCTCTCCAGGCCTGCCCTCTGTTTTTCCTGGAGTTATTCTTCGCCTTTTCATTTGCTCAGCTTTCTGTGTCCTCACCCAGTGGGTCCTACATTCCCCACCAGGTCCGAAGACCTCCGCTCCCGAGCTCAGTCACTCTGAGCTGGCTCCACCCGACCCTGGGGTCCACTGCTTGGCGGCCATCTGGGCCTCTCTCCTGGGGTTGACCCCTTGGCTGTAGTCTGTGTCTTCTTCATTTCCTAGGTCCTAGGGCATGCGCGCACGGCCCCTACAGGTCACTGGTACGCACACACCTGGCCCCACACACAGGTGTGAGCTTGTCGCTTCCAGTTCCTCGTTCCTATCCCAGAGCCCTCCCTCTGCAGCTGTGTGCACACGTGCACACTGTCAAATGCATGTACATGCACGCTCACACACATGCAGTCTTCGGCTGGTGCAGCCAGGGAGAGCAGAGGTGGGTGGGACAGAGGGACAGGGGC